CAGACTTGGCATTTTTCCCTTCAACTATCCATTCAAGAATCAAAGGTAAATTGTCATCAAATACATTATGTAATTATTAGGGAAACTAATTTTACCTGTGTACTTTGTTGAGTCATCAAATTTAACCTTAAATTTCTAATTTTATCAAATTGAGCCAGAACTTAAATAAGTGGTGAAATTAATATTTCCCATTTATTGAGTTTCCAGTTTTTCTGGGTGTTCACTGTTCTTGGTGATGGATGGGGCTATCTTTTGTGGTTACATTGAGATGCTTTTTAGCTCAGGTTTGGTGTTCTAGTATCGGGTTTGATTGTTTTTTTTAGTGGCTTAATTTTTGTGGCTATATTTGGTTACATTTATAGTTGGGTTCAGATATTTTTATGACTTGATTTGGGTGTTCTGTTAGTTGGATCTTGTGTCTATTGGCTGGTTCATGGGCAATATTTTGATTTCATTTTAAAGTTTTATTAATTTTACCTTTTGAAGTTTAGGATTCAATTGGATGAAATGAAAAGTTTAAGGTCAAAATTGACTTTATTGAGTTAAGTACATGTAAAGAATGAAACTCTTCCCTAAATATTATTGAATACTTAGTATGATTTAAGTGTTATTTCTTCATACCGTCTTACTGTAGTGATGGTTTATTTATTGAAGGTCTTAAACCAAAAACCATTTTGGGTGAGAGACTTGCAACAATTTGTGTTATACCAGTTCTTCTAGCTGGTGTGTTGGGTGCTCCTAGTAAACACGAAGAGTTGGTGCAGTTTTTGAGGAAACTATTAGTTGAAGGTACTAAGGAGGAGAATCAGCCAGCAAATCAATATACTGAGATTGTGGATGCAGTCCGCTTCTTTTGGTCTGTATCTAAATAAATACCTATATATAGTTAATGTAAGTAGTTTTCTTTCTGAGGTTTCTTTCCATTGTGCAGCACATTTGAACAGCACCACGGTATGATTTTTAATATTCTGTGGGAGATGGTTGTTAGCTCTCACATAAGTATGAAGATCAGTGCTGCCCGTCTGCTGAAAGTTATTGTAAGCTTAACTGTTCTTCTGGAAAACTATTAATTCCATATCGTATTGAAAGCTAAATCAACTATAATTTATTGCCAGGTACCTTACACTGATTCAAAAGTTGCGTCTACTCACATTTTGCCTGCTCTCGTTACTTTGGGATCGGACCCAAACTTGAATGTGAAGTATGCAAGCATAGAAGCATTTGGAGCTGTTGCACAACATTTTAAGAGTGATATTGTATGTATCTTTTTCTTTGCTAAAATTGACCTTATTGTTATACTTCTTGAACACTCTCAGAGGCTAAGCTGGTTTTTTTTTTTTTTTTGACCTTTTAGATAGTGGATAAGATAAGGGTTCAAATGGATGCCTTCCTTGAAGATGGATCCCACGAGGCTACAATAGCTGTGATCCGTGCATTGGTGGTTGCTGTACCTCACACAACAGAAAGACTTCGAGATTATATCCTTGACCATCTTTCTGAATATCGTTCTATCCAGGACTGTTTGATACTTTCTGAATATTTTATATATCCATTCTTTTGTTTGTTTCTTTAACATGCTACATCTTTTATCCAAGATCTTCCAACTCTCAGCCACACCACCAACTTCAAGTGCATTGATGCGTCGCCGTGAGCGAGCTGATGCATTTTGTGAGGCAATTCGCGCTCTGGATGCTACAGGTTCGTTTCATTTTGCGAGCCTTGTAAATTGGATGCTCAAATCACATGCACTCTTTTGCTGATGTCAAGAAACTTTCTTATATACAATTTATATGGTTGTGTTAGAGCTATCGCCAACGAGCATACGAGAATTGTTCCTACCCACGATGCAAAACCTTTTGAGAGATTTAGATGCTCTGGATCCAGCACACAAGGAAGCTCTTGAAATCATAATGAAGGAGAGATCAGGAGGAACTTTTGAAACCATCAGCAAGGTTATGGGCGCACATCTGGGAATTGCTTCATCAGTCAGCAGTTTCTTTGGCGACGGTGGGCTGTTGGGAAAGAAAGAAACATTGGAGCCATCTCAAACGGAACCAGTTGAGGCGCCAAATCCTGCCCCGGCAGGCCCGCCGCCAGCGGCTGAGGACACAAGATTCCGGCGGATCATGCGAGGAAGTTTCACCGACATGCTCCGAGGCAAAGTAAAAAACCAGGAGGATTCTCAGAGCCTTTGATATAGGACACTTCTCGCCGGCGCCACCCATTGAGGCATGCCGTACTCAGTATAGTCTATAGTGAAGAACCTGTTTTCTTTTTTTGTCTCTTACATGAAATGAGGTTACCATTTCTAATAAGCTTACATTCTTTCATTGAATTATTATTATTATTGTTATTTGACCTTTTCTCTTTTTTGTATCTTATTTTTTGCAATAGTGATAGGAAAGGGGGACTACACAATTATGAGAAGTAATGTTCCTTTACTTACATGTAAAATGAAAATAATTAGTGTATTTTTAAGGATCTCTTTATTGCTTTATAAGGTTTAAGTATCGATGTGGTTGGAAATGTAGGTCTCAATTTGATGAAAACGTTGATGTTGATGGATATTAATAAAAAAAATTATATATAAAAGAAAACTTCTAACAAATATTTAAATTAATAAATATTTTACATTTTTTAAATAAGTTAAAAATATTATGTTGATATTTTTTTATATTTTATCTGTTTTATAATTCTACATTTCAAAGTTTTAAATTCTAAATATAAAAGTTTTTTTTTTCTCAAAATTTTGTCACATAATCCAAAAATTATTCAATGAATCATTTTAATTAAATAAATATGAAAACAATAAACATAATACCTACTTTTTATTAAATAAGGCCTAAACTCTTTTTTTCTTCTAGAAGGAAAACATGTCATAGTAAGTGTAAGACTGCTAATTCCTACCAACATCTGAAATTCTTATCCATTAAATTTATGTTGACAAATCGACATTTTTATGTACACGTAGGTTCAACATCAATATGATAAATAAATTAATATTTTTATGATATTGCAAAAAATTTGACAAAATATAAATGATATTAATAAAATATCAACATAATATTAATTAATCATTTAAAACTTATTTAGAAATTGTGAAAAGTTTATCGACTAATTTAAATATTTGTTACCAAATTTTTATTTTTATAAAATTTTTAAAAATATTCTAAAATACATTTTCATGTAATTGAGATCTCGACGTTTTTATCGATATTAACATTTAAAATATTGTCCACAATGTTTGTTGAAAAAGAAAGATAAATAACAATAATTAAAAGACAATTTCGTCTTTTCTTTTCGAATAATGAGACAAAAAGTGAAACTTTCATATTTTTCCTTGTTGTAGTTCAGGTCATCTTTGAATTTATTCACATGTTTGTGTTATGGTTTGGTGAATGGCGACTCTGGCCCTCACACGCCACCAAAGGACATTTTCCCAAGCAAATCAAAATGTATGAAGTCTCATTCGTTTTTCACATTCATTTTCATTTGGGTCCACAAGATCTCACTATCACACCATTTCTTTAATCATCTGCTCCAATTTTCCACACCACAAAGCTCCGCCTGTAAAAATGACAAGAAAAAGAACCCACTATTGCAACTCCAATTAGAGAGTGTAGCGAACTCAATGGCTTTGTTTCTGTCTGCTGCTCTTCTCCCCTCTTCTTCCGCGCTTCTTCCACGCCTTCCCAGAAGCACTTCCAGGCTCTGCATCGCTTCTAGCCATGGCGGCGGCGTTGAGCTAGTTGCAGATTCTGCTGCCCCTGCCCAAAGGGTAAGTTTCGGGTTCAAAAATTTGGCGGATACTTTTTGGGTGGATGTGCAGAGGGCTGAAGGGAGGCCGTTGAGTGTTGGGCTTAATTCGCCATTGCATATTGGGGAAACGAAGCTTGAAATGGTGGACAATGTTGCAATCAGAGTGGAACTGAGTAATGGGTGTGTGGGTTGGGGGGAAGTTCAAGTGCTACCTCTTGTTACTGATGTCAATCTGGAAACAGCTCTTGGGAAGGCTGAGGATATCTGCAGCTACCTCCGGCGGACCCCGCCGACGACTCTGAATTCGGTGTTTGATGATATTGCCGGACTTCTATCCCCCCGGGAGTTTGCTCCGGTGAGTGAAGTGTTGCTAATTTAGAGCGATTTCATGGAAAGGAATGGAGTAGATGTGTTTATTTAGTAAGTTTGATGGGAATATAATTCACTTGGATCGCATCATTATTCCACAACAGTAGCCTTCTTTTATTTATGAGTTTCAACTGATCCTATAACTTGTTGAGCTAACTCCTTTCACTTACAGCTAACCTGTTGGTCCTACCATATTTGGTTGCTAGATAAAATTCATAGGATTTTAAACCTTAGGTAGGTGACTATCATAGTTTAAATAGTTTAAATGCATTTCCTCGATGCTCTTTTACTTTTTCACTGGTCCCAATACCACTAAGCCAACCAATGGAAGTTCATGTTTCCCCTTTTGATGAAGCAAATCGAGGTGAGGGATTCGAATTTTGACGAGTTCTTTATACCAATGAGTCTTTTGTTATGGGGACAATGACATAGCCCCATATCGTAAGATAAGACAAAGCACATCTCTATTAAAATGAGGTATTTTAGTTCTAAGAAGAAAAACTATACTTGACTTAAATTTAAAGTAGATCATATTATACCATTGCAAGGATATAGAGATAATTTATATTGATGAAATGATTTCAGTTTTGAATATCGGCTCTGGTTACTGTATTAAAAGCAACTCTTTAAGCGGTTTCTGTGTTCTAAAGATCAGGGCTGGGGTGGAGATGGCATTGATTGATGCAGTTGCAAATAGCATCGATGTTCCACTCTGGAGATTATTCGGTGGTGTCACAAGTACCTTAACCACTGCAATTACAGTTGAGCTCAATAAGTTTTTATGCTATAACAGTGTCTTTGCTTGATTCTTGAAGAAGATTTTTCATTATTTGTGATATATGATTCTGCAGGTCCCAATTATTTCCCCAGCAGAGGCGTCACTATTGGCTTCAAAGTATTGCAATCAAGGATTTGAGACTCTTAAGCTTGTTGTTGGGAAAAACTTTGCTGCAGAAATTGCAGCTATTGAAGCCATAAAGGAAGCTCAACCCTGCTGCTCATTCATGTTCGATGCAAACGAAGGATACACGCCCGACGAAGCAATAAAATTTCTCAAGAGATTGAAGGGTAATATTTATTTTTCAAGATTTGAAAATGAGCTAAAACTCTCTGTTATGTAGTATATTTTCAATGATTATGCTCTCTATTCCTTCCCGTCATTGATAAAATGTCTTAAATGATTATTCCATGGCAGATATGGGGATAGTTCCTCTTGTTTTTGAGCAACCTGTAGCCCGAGATGACTGGAAAGGCCTTCGCGAAGTCAGTAACTTAGCTAGAGAGTATGGAGTACCCGTTGCAGCCGATGAAAGCTGTCGGAATTCGACCGATGTTCGAAAGATTATCGACGAAAACCTCGTGGATGCCATAAACATCAAGTTACCCAAGTTTGGAGTCCTTGGAGTTCTAGAAATAATAGAGCTGGAAAGAAAATCAGGCTTGATTCTTATGATTGACAGCATGGCAGAGACGAGACTCGGGACCGGGTTTGCAGGCCATTTGGCTGCTGGCTCTGGCTGCTTCAAGTAACCTTTCACGTCTTTTTTACCACTTTAGGATTCATTCCTGGATTTTCAATGAAGTTTCTTATACAAATTGCAGGTACATTGTTCTTGATGCACCATTTTTATTAGCAGAAGATCCTGTTGTTGGAGGTTATGAAGGTAATCGTTTTTAAATCGCAATAACCGACGTGAACATTCGTGTTTACACACAATAAGCTCAATTTGGTGATGTTGTTGTTATGTTCTCAACCAGCTTCTGGTGCTGTTTACAAGTTCAATAATGCTAGAGGCCAAGGAGGCTTCCTGAATTGGGATCTTCTTCCCGGTGAGATATGTTGCCATGTTTTCATTTCATATCATCTATTTCAGTCTTATTTGCTGCCACTGCATTGTTTGAAGCCATTTTAACAGTGTAGTTGCTACAATCTCCTTCCAAATTAGCCATTCCAAGAGATTAATGTTCTCTCTGATTTTGACCAGGACAAATAATTTGAAAATTTTCTTGAATTCCAATTCAATTTAAGCTTCATTTTCATGTTTCAAACCTGTTCAAGATAAACAACTCTTTCTTGTCCCCAAGGTAAAAAGCAACATCTCATGACGTTTAGGAAATAGTTTTGAAAAGTCATACGTGGCATGTGTTAGGACAACAAATCTCTCTATATTCCACAATAGTATGATATTGTTCATCTTGACCGGAATCTCCCTTGCATGGAGAAGATTGCTTTGCTTGGTCTTAAATTCATGAATTCAGTTGAAAGCTTCCTTTTTCATGTTTTAAATTCTATGATTGAATTCAAAGTCAAAACTTGGATTGGAACCTACTGATTCTGTGGCCTAATTTCTGCAGATGCTGGTGGGTCACCTTAAAATCCTGCAACTTGGCAGGCAGCTTTAATTGTTACTCTGTAGAAAATAAATACTTGCAGTTGGATGCATGGCTCTCTGCAAATTGCTAAATCTATAAATTCCAAAGCCATGAAAATCAGAGGAAATTAATACTAGTATTTTATAGTGTATATTAAATAAACTTGGGGTTTCCAACTCTTAAAATTGTTAGATATGAATCAGCATCTTCCTCTATAGTTTTTCATATTTACTTGTAAATTTAAATCTCCACCTTTTTATGCAGAAACTCGAGTATATATGTTTGGTTAAGTTAGAAAAAAGGACAATTTTACTTTGAACTTCTTCCTGTTATCCCTCAAATTTTCAGCTCTCTATCAAAAGTTGCACCAAACATCTTATTGTTACCGTTACACCCATAAACTTTCAATTGTTACAACTAACAGTGAAAATTAAACTTGTTAAACTTTCCCAAGTGATAAAATTGCACCTTTTAAATTTCCAATTTAAAAAATTAAACCTTAAAATTTTTAGAAAGGTGCGTCTCATTTGACAGAAGAAACTCGCATGTCTAGTTTCGTATCCTAAAAGTACCTTTTTGAAATCTTGGAGAGGAAGATGCATCGTTCGAAATGTGAATCGTAGTATTCATTCTTATATAAATTGGAATGGTAAACAAACCAAATAGAATAATGCCCTTTGTTGCACAGAGTCTAAAACAATTGTGACGATTGTCTCAAATTTTGTAAAACTTTAGGGTTTAATTTTTACAATTAAAAATTTAGAGGGTGCAATTTTATCAGGAAGTTTGAGGGTTTAATTTTTATAGTTGAGAGTTTAGGAGTGTAATTATAACCAAGGTAGATTGTGCAATTTGTCCAATAATATTGAATCATGGGAAGGATTGTATAAAATAATCATCTTTAATAGATAGTTTGGCGAAGTTCAACGATATTACATCCATCTCCGACGAAGAAGTGGTGAAACAAAAGAAGAAGAAAAAATAGATTTAGTTTGACTAAATTTGTCACAACATGTCGCATATGGTTACATTGACCCGACATTTGATTTTTGTTTTTTTTTTTTTCTGGTAGGAATAAGATGCATGTATAGGATAACGAACACATTTCGCTTATGGGATTAGACGCCTGACAAATTCCACGTAATCAGTGAAGTCATATATATATTTATTTTTTTATTTTTTGAGTTTATTGAAGTCAAATATTTTATGTAACGTTTTTACAAGTGGGCGTGCGTTTCATAGTTTTTGACTTCTTTTTTTCTCTTCTCTCCCATAATATAATAATAATAATAATAATAATAATAATAATAATAATAATAATATCTTTGATATATCTTACATGTGGTCCTACTATGATTGCATGTGTATTGCTATTTGCTAAACCTTTAGATTTGGTTGTTATATTTTTAATCCTGAGGCTCTATCAAAATTGAAGGCTGACAAAATGAACTAAACAATTTTGAACGAACCATAGTTTAGATTTTACTTATATAACTTTTTTTTTTTTTAATTTAGAGACTAGACAGATACATTGTTTAGAAGAATAGACTAAATTATGATTTAACTAATTTTTCTAATGAACAACATCCGGCGTGTAGATTCTAACCTCCAATCTTTTTTCTCAAAAAGATTTGATTTAAATATGACAAAAGTGATTTTGAAGCGGTAATTACCTTTAAATATATTTAAATATTTTTGATGCATGGCGTCTCGGTTGATGAATGATTAAGAAATGAAGATTCGTTATTAATCATATGGAATGCCCCACCGTCGACCCCAATCCTTCATTATTGGTTTTCCAGACGCCACTAGAAACTAGAAAGGCCAACCATATTTACCTACACCAGTTAACTACTCAAAAAAACATTTTCCCTACCCCAGTTGACTACTACTCAAAGCACACTTTTTATGTGATTTTGATTAACCAACACGGTTTGGTAATCGTGCCCCAACTCGATTGGACCGCATAATAAAAACTCTCAAACTCGAATTGAAGTAGATTCTAACTAGTGGGGCGCTACCTATATGGAGAGAAAATCCAAATCTTTATAAGACCATAAAAGTTTCACTCAGACTGAGTTACTTGAGTTAGTGAAAGATTATAACTGCGAGATTCTGTGTAACATCGTTTTAAACTCCTGCGAGTGTATATTGCAACGACTAATATTCGATGTTTTAGTTACGCGACAAAATATGTCTAACAGTGTTGGAAATTGTTCGAACTTGAGACGTCCAAATTTCATTATGGTTGGATTTTGATCAAATGTATGTATATTTCATTTACTAGGGAAGTTTTTAGAGAATTCATTAGATAAATATTTTTCCAATAAGAATTATTGTACAAATTTTCTAAGACACTGTAAAACTTAGATTATTGAACACAAACTTCAAAATTAAGAGATCAAATTTACAACTAACTCAATAAAATAAATTGTCTATTTTGCATGTATTTAATAAATAGACCATGCTTCTTTCTTTGGAAGTAACAAATAGATAATACTAAATAACATACTAAAAATAAATAAAAAATACTAAAAAGTCAACAACAGTTCAAAGCTAACTCAGGATGTGTAGCTGTAAGTTTTTTTTAAAAAAGAACTCTTCTAAAAAAAAGTTTTAAAAAAACAAAACAAAAACCACTCCTTTTTCTTTTTTCTTTTTTGACGAAAAAATAAAAACCGTAAATGTGTAGGTTGAGGTTGTAAAACAAACGCATACGCAGTTACTTACGTGTATGCGAGTGAGTAGAGAGATTCATATTCATTGTTAAATGTTAACCAAAATAAGGCCTAAATTAATTTGCAAAAAAAAAAAAAAAAAGATAAGGCCTGAGAGTGAGGGCCATGGCTCCACCACACCAAACGGTGCCGCCTCCACGCACACATCCATTGTTAAACATAATTGTAAAAATTCGAAAATTTATTATATCTAATATTTAATTAAAATTATCATAATTTAATAGGGGTAGTTTTAAGAGTTTTGTTTTTTTTTCCTATTAAGTCACATGTTTAGAAATTAGAATAAGATACAGGTCAAAAACTGAATTAGGATTTAAGAAAATAGAGGAATCGATATTATTTACTGTGTTTCCTTCTTTGACTTTTGACTTTATTTCTTTATTTAATTTAGATAAACGTTTTGTATATATATGTGTCATTTGAATTCGTAGGAAAACTCAATTTATCAAAGTATGATTTTATAAAGAAAAAGAGAAAACAGGTTGTCTTAAAAGTAGGTTAATTTTGCCAAAGCGAACCTGTGTGTTCATTTGTGGATTCTAATTGTGATATGTGGTACCATTTTATGATGTAACCTTTAGCGTCCTAATTCCCTTTAATGTAGTGTTTCTTTAATAAATTTGTAAAAGATTAAATATAAATTCAAACAATGCTCATGAGTTAATTTGAAGCAAAGGATTCAAATTTTGAACCCATCGAATATCAAGACGTGTCAAAGTTAGGCCGTACACCCGTGGATATAAAAATTATATATATATAAATCCAATCAAAACGATTCCCAATTTTAAATTAAGAAAAACGTTTTTTTTTTTTTTTTAAGAAAACACTAGGGGCAGCGGCAGCCACGCGTGCCTCACAAACCATAAACCTGGGGAACTTTCAAACCTACGCGGCGCAACGCAACGCAACGAATATGGTTTTTATCTCTTCCTTTTTTCCTTTAATTAATTATTTAATTAGCTGTTAAATAAATAAAATCCTAATTCCTAATCTGAACTGTGAATCCTAATTTTGTTGTTGTTCCTTTCATTCTCCAAAAGCCATAATTGGGGTCCTATATAAACCAGCTTCCTCCACACCATTTCTCAATCAAAACACAAACCTACAAATTTACTATTACTCTCTCTCTTTTTCCCTTTTCATGGCCGCCTCTGATCTCTCCGTCATCCTTCCTCGCGTTCTCGTCGTCTCCCGCCGCTGCGTTCGCAAGAACAAATTCGTCGATTTCGTCGGTGCGTTTCTTCATTTCCCATTCGCATGCATGCATTACATAATAATCCATATCCGCCCATTCCTTTAATCTTGATTTTTCTCTTCAGGCGAGTACCATCTCGATCTCATCGTCGGCTATGGCGCCGTGCCGGTGATCGTTCCCCGTGTCGCCGGCGTGCACATGCTGCTGGACAGTTTCGAGCCGATCCATGGAGTTCTCCTCTGCGAAGGGGAAGACATCGATCCCTCTCTGTACGAGACCGACACCACCGGCCTCTCCCCGGAGGAACTCGAGGAGATCAGGAGGCTCCACGCCAGCGACACCGCCATTGATAAAGAGAAAGACACAATCGAGTTGCGATTGGCCAAGCTCTGCCTCGAGAGGAACATTCCCTATCTAGGGATTTGCAGAGGATCGCAGGTTCTCAATGTCGCCTGTGGAGGCACGCTTTATCAGGACATTGACAGAGAGATTTGGAAGAAGACTCTGGAAGGGGAAAAAGTTGTTCATATTGATTACGATAATTACGACGGCCATAGGCATAGGGTGAATGTGGTGGAGAATACGCCATTGCACAACTGGTTCAGAGACTCTTTGGAAGACGATAAGATGGAGATTCGGGTAAATAGTTATCATCATCAGGGAGTTAAGGTATTGGCTCAGAGATTCGTGCCCATGGCTTTTGCTCCTGATGGGCTGATTGAAGGGTTTTATGATCCTGATGCTTACAATCCCGAAGAGGGCAAGTTCATTATGGGACTTCAGTTTCATCCTGAAAGAATGAGACGCCCAGATTCTGATGAATTTGATTATCCCGGATGCCCCGCTGCTTATCAGGTATCATCAACATTCTACCTCTAATTGGTTGATTTTTAGATTTAAATTCTGTTTCGGTTCTAAACTATAATACTCATTTCATTAAAAAAAAAATTCTGAAACCCACAGAGGTCTTATGTAGCTTCAAACACGTATCTAACAAGAGACTAAGACGTGTTTATCTCAAAGGTTATCTCATCCAAAATGAATTTTTAATTTATATAAAGTTCAAGAACAAAATAGAATAGCCATCTGAGAATCTAACTCAACAAAATAAAATAAGTTTTAGACCTTGATGTTAGGTTTGAATGCTGTAAATCAAGATGACTTAACCAACCTGAGTTGTATTCTTTTTTAGTCTTAAAACTGTCTACAAAAACTATTTTATTTACATAAATCTTCATCCGTTTTCAAACTCTGACACATGACCCATCCTCTGTCTTTTGTCTCTAAAGTAAAGACGTGTTTTGGCATTTGATTATAGATATACTTGGACATCTGGAAAGGCTCTTGACTCTGAGAAAATGACAATTTTTTTTGTATTTTATTGTAGAACTACTTGGACATCTAGATAGGAACAAATAACATCGTTGGCATGTGTTATTGACATCTTTCTACAACCTGTTGACATTAAAAAGATATCAATTCTAATTTATCGACCTTGAAAATTTTTAATTTATGAAAATATGGATGACATGTCTGTAAGTTGTAACTATTGGGGAATTGTGGATTTATCTGAAGTTTACATATGGGATTGGTGCAGCAATTTGTGAAGGCAGTGGTCGCATACCAAAAGAAGCTAAACAGCAGCACATTATCAGTACCCAAAATGGCTTTAAAGCTGAACAATGAGATGGAGAAGAAAAGGAAGATCATAGTCCGAAGCTTCTCCCTTGCCAAGAACTTATACACAACCGGCCGAGATGCACAGCCAGAGAAGGAGCCCGAGCTCGAAGCCGGAGCAGAGTTCCTCGAGGTACCAATACCATCATCATATTAATCAAGTCAAAACTCAAAAGCACAATTTTTATTTCCTTTTTGAGCCATTCATTCTTATGAACTGTTAACTGAAATTTGGGTGTTGTAATGGTGTTTGTTTTTCAGTCAAACACTGCTCTGAGCGTGCAACAGGAGAACAGGCTGAAGCAGATGGGTGCAACAATCAGAAATGGGAGTTCCTACATAGAGAAACTGAAGCTAAATGAACAGAGAGAAAGAACAGCAAGGAATGTGATGGGGAAGATGACAATAGAGCAGTTATCTGATCTCATGTCTTTCTACCATATGATGGGTCAAATTTGCTCAGAAGTTTTGGAGAGAAAGTTGAATGATGTTGTCAAATAAAGCAGCCTCACAGATAACTCTGGAGTCTGGCCCTATTTTCATCCCTTCAACTGTCATTTTCTGTGTTATCTTTTGTTGTTGGGCTCACGTGAATCTCATAGATGGGAAACACCCACAGATTTATGTCTCTGTCAAAATTATTTTCTCTCTCTACAAAAAGGTAATGGGGGAGGTGATTAAATTGTGTGCCTCTCTCTCACCTTTTTACTGGGTTGGAAAAATCATGGTGTGAATCAATTGGAAGTGTATAGTTGGGGAAATCATGTTTTACTTCTATGCTTTTTATTGGGGTTTCGGCCTGAAAGGTAGTCCATCTCCTCATTTTTATGTTTATGTTCGTCCTACTCCTCCGTTAACATACTTAAAATTGTTACTCTCCTTCTCTTTTTTCATTTGAATCTCATATTTTCTTACCTCATCTCTCTTTCTGGTTCTTCAACCTTCGATTTCTCTCTCTCCTTTACTAAAAATTTTTTTGGTTCTTCAACCTTCCATTTCTCTCTCTCCTTTACTAAAAAATTTTTTAGCATGGGAAAAATCAAACGGAGATTGAAGAAAAAAAATGAGAGAGAAAAGAAAGAAAACGTTAATCGCTCTCTCCTCTTTCTCTGTTAGTCTGGGGGATTGCAGTACGTAACATTTAAGTTGATTTAAGTGGATTTGTTTTTCCTTTTTGGAAAAGATTTCCATAATAAAAAGGAAAAAAATCCACGTAGGATTGCAGTATGTAACATTTAAGTTGATTTAAGTGGATCCACGTACCTCTCTTTTGTTGATTTGGTAATTGATTCACAAATTAAAAAGATTCATCATTTCAATTTTGAAAACTCATTAAATTTTGTTTCTCTACTCTCCCTCTCGTTCTCTTTGTCGTCTCTCGTTCTTTTTCTCCCTTTCTCTTCTTGTTTTTTTTGCCTCTCTCTCTTCTCGTTTTCTTGTTCTCTCCCTTTTCGTTTTGTTGTTCTCCCCGCGAATACATTCTAGGCCATAAACAATTTTCTATCCTTAAATGAAACAGAGGAGAGAGATTTTTCGTTAATTTATGAGTTTGAAATCCATACTTCTAGGCTATAAACAATTTTCTATCCTTGAATGAAACAAAGGAGAGGGAGGGGGAGAATGAGAGAGAATATGAGATTCAAATGAAAAAAAGAGGGTGAAATAAAAATTGTAAGTATGTTAGTGGAGTAATTTGGAATGGACGGTGATGTCAATAAATGTTTACAAAACATAAGAACGAGGGAAGGGACCACATTTGACATTTTGACCTTTGCTATTAAGTCCGATTTTCCTTTTTATTGCCCAGGAACTTGAAAATAGTGGAATGTGAAGGAACCTATTATAGCAGATCAAGTCCATGAATTGTAGTTCAGAAATATATTCACACGATGGTGGATTTGTATCTAAAAAAAGGTTCATGAATGAATGAAAAATTCAACATTATTGTTTGCTTCAGCCATTTTGGCTATAAGTCACTCTTGATTATTTAATTTAGTCTTTAAATAGAATAAATCCTTTTTGAGGGAATTATACTTTTGCTTTCTAAATATTCCTTTGTGTGTATTTAGACGAGTCTTTTTCATTGGTAAACCTCACTATTATTTTATTTTAATTTTTTTGACCCCGAAACCTCACTATTATTATTTATTGCCGAAAATGTGATATAAAAAACATATACTCACATCTAGGATGTATTGAAAACCTTATCCAATGTCACCTTCTCACCCCAAATTGGGCCCACACCAACTAACATTATTAAAATTAATTTTTCAAACATTATTCCACATTTGTTTTCGGAAAGGCATTATTCTACATTTTAAAAAACATTTTTAAAATTAAAGTTATAATTAGAAGAGTAGTCTTTAGAATCTTGTCTCTTTCTTGAAATTTGATTAAGAATTTAAATATATTTTTATAAAAGACGAGAAATATGTTAAATAAAACAAGCATACTTATCCAAAATAGAAAAATAAAAATGAAATCTATAAGTTTAAAGACAAATCAAATTTTAATCCCATGTTGAAATGAAGGCTATGGTTTACAGTGTCAGCTATCCAAAAACTGCTATACACATTACACAATATGTACTTATCCAAATATGAACCCAGATGAAGGAACAAAAATAAGCAAATATCAAGATTCAAGAATCACAAGGAATTTGTGATGGTAGAGCTGCTAACCCAGTTGTCAACTATGACAGAATTTGGCGAAAGGGAGGGTGTTGTGTTCTTTGTAAGCTCGACATCGTCTGCAGCAACTCCGATATCGACAACTTCAGCCATCCCAGCAATGGATTTATCATTCTCAATCTCCCTCAACACTTCAACGACTTCTTCCATGGAAGGCCTCATGTACCTTTCCTGTTGTAGGCAGCGAAAAGCCAACTCTGCAACTGATGTTGTCATCCTCATAACTTCATCATTAGTATCGAAATCGAGCTTCGGGTCAACCAACTCATTCAATGCTCGACTTTGTATTTTACTCACTGCCATGTTGCTCAAATTGATATCATGCCGTTTCCTATCCGTGTCAACTGCTCGTAGGGACGATATAAGCTCAATCAAGACCACGCCAAAGCTGTACACATCGCTCTTAGTAGTGAGTTGATAGCATTGGTAATACTCAGGATCGACATAGCCCGGGGTGCCCTGTGGGGCAGTGGACACATGAGTTACATCAGTAGGGAACAGCCTTGAGAGGCCAAAATCAGCCACTTTGACAGTGAAGTTGTTGTGAAGGAGAATGTTGTTTGTTTTGACATCACGGTGGATGATATCAGAATGGTGGAGGTATGCAAGTGCATTTGCTGTTTCGATGGCGATTCGCAACCGAAGAGGCCAACTGAGCAAACCAAGCTTTGCCCGCGAGCCGTGGAGATGGTCGGCTACCGTTCCGTTGGGAATGTACTCGTAGACAAGGAGAAGGCCTTGGCTGAATCTTGAGGTGCAGCCGTAGAGTTTGACAAGGTTGTGGTGTTGTAAATTGGCAAGGATGTCCACTTCATTCATGAACTGCTCCACACGTTTGCAATTGTGTTCATATAGACGCTTCACAGCAACCTCACGGCCATCATAAAGCTTCCCTGATTACACAAAATCACATTAGTGTAATAAATTTTTGAACAATTTAGTACTATAATAGATCACTACCTACTGTTAACTTCATGAGTTTAACATTTACGCCACTAAAAACAAAAATCTACTTGAGATCAGCTAACCATAATACAAACATCATGATACATGTAAGCATTAAGCTAACAGATTAGACCTATTAGACACAAAGTTCACGAAAGTTTAATAACCTATTAGAAATATTTTCAAAAGTACAAGTACCAGATACACAAAACCTTAAAAGTTTAATCTAACCTTACTTCTTACCAAGAAGGTTAAAAGTAATATTTTCATACCATAGTAAACGGTGCCAAATCCTCCATCTCCGAGCTCTCGAGAACGGTTAAACTTATCGGTAACTTTTTCGAGTTCGGAATAGCTAAATACTTGAATTTTGTGGTTGTTGCCGCCCTTCTCGAGGTCGGATTTGGAAGAGGGATAAGAAGGAATGCTGTGACTCTGAAAGGAACTCAAAAGAGGAGGAGGTGGCAGGTCTTTGTTAAGATGATCAGACAGAGGAGGAGGAGGAGGAGGAGAAGGGGCTTCTCTGCTTATAGATTGAATGGGATGTTTCTTCTTTCTTCTCAAGTAAAAGATGATGCAGCATCCTAAGATTATTGCAACCAAACATGCTCCTCCAATTGAAACACCTAATCACATAAACACAAACAATGTCTGCCATAGTCATATCTTTTTGGTTTAACTTCATTTCTTTCATTTTACCCTTTAAACATTTAATTGTTGAAAGGCTATTATTGTAATCATCGACTTAGAAGTTTGAATTTCCACTCTACATGTCGTTGAACTAAGAAAATTTATACTCTCGTTAATTTTTCTTTAATAATATGATAAGAACTTAAATATGTTTCGGAATTATACATTTAAATGACATATTGTGGCTTCAAATATTACAATGTAGACAATTACTCATCACATCAATTAAGAAATTGTGGAGTTTTTAATAAAAAAGATTAACAAAACGGGCAAAAATAATTTTTTATACCAAATTTAAAGATTAAAGTAGAATATATGAAAGTCTAAATAAAATGTGGCTAAAAATTTAGGGGTTATAATATAGTAAAAATTGGCATTCTTTTCTAATTTGTTAAGGAAATTCAAACCTATAACTCAGCTTAGGGAGAGAGAGATTTGAACTTACCAATTAGAAGGGGCCTGGAATTGGATTGCCTTTTCTTCCCTGCAAAATGTTCCAATTCAAGAAATATCAATATATAGGTGATATCTGTTACATGGCATTTATTTTAAATTAACTAAAAATTAATTAATTTCTATTATCAAATAAGCAGTAATTTATATATGCAATTACAAATGGATAGAGATTAAATCATTAAGAATCCAAACCTCATAAAAGCCAAATCATAATTCATTGATGTGTTTTATTTCCTTATTATTTATATATTATTTTTGACTTCTAATTTCTTTTTTAGTTTTAAGTTTTTAACCATTTAATAAAAGAAATTCCGCCACTTTGTCGGTATACCGTTTGGTGGGATTTCTTATAAATATTTGTTTAAATTTTCTACCTTTGGCTTTTCCCCTCGTCAAAATTAACGGAACGCTAATTAAAAAATCCATAAGAACCTCGAAGTTTTAGAATAATATATATATAACCTAAATCTTCCCTAAAAAAGAAGAAGAAAATATATATATATATATATTTGGACGGAGATGGCGCTAATATGGGAACAGATCTCGCCCTCCAAGTTTCCAATGGAGGGCAGGACGCGACGTCGTCGAGTAAACCAGGAGAAAGATGGCGAATGGACGAGACGAAAAGGTAAGTCAGTAAATAAATGATTTGATTCCCCATTACTTTATCTTTTCTGAGTGTTGAGTTTTAAGAATCCGTCGTAGAAATGGAAAGAATAACTTGGCATTTGGTGATTGAATTGAGTGGTGGTGGGATTCAAAGTGCGTTCTAGTGGATCTTGACTTGTCCTTTAGGGTTAGTGGAAAGAACCCTTAGAAGATTTTAAAATAATTTTAGATAGTTGCTCTGCCAGTTCTGTTCTTCAGTTTTGAATTCAGGATTTTGTTCAAGGAAATAGAAACCATTTCAAAGTTCATAGGAGAATTAATGGGAAGTTGAGGAAATCCTAGAAACATTTTTTGGAGAAGTGAATTAACATCTGTTAGGGTAAAGAGACAGTTGAAGCCTTATGTGATGCAACTTCATCAATGTGAACCAAAAAGTAGAATCTGTGTTTTCCAAAGAAACACCAATGATAAATACCTGATGGTGTTGATCCACAAGTGGTTTTAAAAGCTCCATCTAAGCAATAACAAGTGAATTCTCCCAAACTTGGGTCTGAACCACACTGCCCACCTGATTCTCGACACCGATAACACACGTTATTGTCTATCTTCCACTGCAACTCAAATCCAGCATCAAGAGCTTTTATTAGATTTTGCCCACTTAGATTGCTCTGTAGAGTTTGCATCTCTGATTGAGAGATTGCAACATCAACACTATGGTTGCATCTCGTCGCGTTTGAGATACCACTATCAGCATTCTGTGTTGCGATGAGATTAACATAACTGGAGCTGTTTATGTTGCAACTAAATTGACCAGGAAGATTAACGGGCAAGGATGGGCAGTCATAGAGTATCTTTAGGATTTTAGTATTTGAGCTGTAGTAAAAAAGATTCAAGTCCAACGTGCTGTTCTTCAAGTATTGTGGACAAATATTGTTCCAGTAATCTATTCTAGCTACCTTCAGAGTCTGTGTGTCGGTATTGATCTCGAGAACACGATAGGCAATGGACTTGATTATGATCTGTAGAGCTCCATCTTTGCAACTCAACTCAAAACTTGGATGGCCACAGTAATCAGGTCGATTCGAACCCCAGAAAGGATAGCTGAGATTTGGATATGTGAGACACTTCAATGACGAGTTGCAGTTCATATATTCCTCCTCGTCATCACATAATGAAATCAATGGTTGGATTAGAATCGTTTCTATGAATATCAGGACTAGAAGCAAGGTTTTGGAGGGATTGGTAGGCATTTTTTACAGGGGATTGTGAACTCAAAGGTACAAAATAGAGATGAATGAATGAAATGGTTTAGTTTATTATCAGGAATGATGATTTCATTGAAGGACTTTAACGAAGTGGGATGTGAAGTTTTGTCAAACAGAAGCTTCCATAAGTGCTAGGATACCAACGCCAGTCAATTAACGTTTATAGCCCAGCTATAATTTGATCTGAATACAGATGTACACTTCCTATTTGTCTTAATATCTCATTCTCTACCTACAGACTCCATTTCAAAAGTTTAAACTCAACAACTCACCCAAGTGAACGCCACTAAAGTTGGCACAACCTCATCAATCACCTACTTAACCCCTGCTTTTGCACCGTAATCTTTGCTACAGAATAAGGACGATTGATATCAACCATGTGGCAATTGGATTTTTGAATTTAAGTATCTTAGGATAGAAGTTGGAGTACGCCAACTAAAAAGTGGCAGGGAGAAAATAAGAAATTGTAGGATATGATCTACTAAATAATTTCAACAAAGAGTAGAAGATCCACCCCAGCCATAAAAACAAAACCCGGAAAAAACATCAGCTGATTCAAATCTTGAAGATATATATGAATATATGTATGAAAAATGTCAACAATATATAAAAAAAATATAAATATATATGAGCTCTCTTTTGTTACAATTTTGTTTTTAGTTTTATGTTTCTAAAATATTAGGCTTATTTACTTACCGTTTGTTTTTATTTTTTAACCTTTTACAAAAATAATTTTGAATTCTTGGCCAAATTTATAAATCAAAAACTGGTTCTGGATTACTGGACCTTTCGTATTTGCATTTTGGTCAAAGACCCAAAAATATTTGAAAAGAATGTATACACAGCTATATTTTATACTCGGACTTCTAACATTAACCCTCAGTGTGTAATGACCATTTTAAAGGTGATTGAGGTAATTGACTTAGATTTTATAATCATAATTTGTCAATAACATGGTGTAAAACGAATATTCTGAGTTTCCAAAACAAACATGTATGCCTAATGTAGTTAGACGAAGACCGGCCGTCAACCTAAAAGAGTCTCTGTAAATTAAATACAGTGACTGGAAATGACGACTTCATCTTCTTAGTGAAACTTAACTTAATGTTTATGAATAAAATGTTATTTTTAGAACTCAGGATAAGTTTTTGTTTCTTATTTTATATTATAATTGTTGAAAATTTTGTGGTTTTCATGTTGTGAGCTGAAAAGTAACCAGGAAAAAAAATACTGAAGGGAATCTTAACCAGTGGTGTCTATATATGTTAACTTTCAAGAAATATGATGTATCTCCAGATGTTTGAGCTATATTGTTGAGATTTATTCTTGGGTTTTATTTTTTTTTAAAAGATATATATTATATATATATATACTGTTGAGATTTTTATCAGTGGGCTGAAAAGGAGGAAATAAGAGTAGCTCTTGGGTGTGATCATTACTAGAGATATTGTTGCTAAGAAGCGTGAGGTCTTTTCTGCGAAAAGCTAGACAAAATGACCATTATGTCTGAGGAAGATGTATTTTCTGGGGAAATCTAGGGGCTTGTTGGGACTGTTTTCGAAACTATTAAAATTCAGAACATGTTTGGATACCTTATTTTTGAAAGGTTAATTTAGTAGTATTTTTTTCTCAAATGACCTTTAGAAAAAAAAGAAAGAGAAAAAGAAGAAATTATCCTTCCTATGTAAATGTATTAATATTTTTTAATCATAGTTGTTAAAAAATAGGAATCCCATAATTTATGTCATATCATCACCCTCGAGCTATCATGAAATGTGTTAGATATGATGGTCTTTGTTCCTTTGGGTAGACATTTTGATGAAGTTGAGTTTTATGTCACCAAGACTTGTTGGCTTTAGTTCAAAATAGATCACAGTGTTGACTAATGACTACTGCCCCGGATGAGACCTTGATAGAATAAAACTATTGCATCAATTTTGGAGGGAAAACAACAACATACCGGATGCAGGTGCTGTTTTTGGCGCTTCAGCCACCGGTGACGGTGAGGAAGGACAGACTTCAAACCCAGTAGAGGGAGCATGGCAGTAGCATCTTGTTTGATCGGAAGGCAAGCCATAACCACAAACACCAACTGGAACGCTGCAGCTTCTACATACTTGAGCATCTACCTTCAGCTTAGAGTGAAACTTTGCTTTGATATCCTGTGCCACCTTTTTCAAATCATCAAGTTCTTTTAACGACGATGATGAAATTGGCACGACTGCACTGAACACACAATGTGGATCAGCATTAGCGGCTATGTTTTCAAATGGTATATATCTCAATTCAGCTCCAGGACAAGTAGGTTTGCGTTGGATTTCGGGATGCTCGCAGTCACTAGATACAGGAATCATCGCTTGGATGGGACTATTCTTATCTGGCATACAAAATCGACTTGAAAAGCCAAGTTCAGCTATTATAAGAATTTGATCCTTCTGACTAAAACCCAGGAGTTGGTATTTTGCTCCCCAAATTTCTATGGTTGCGTAGTTTGCCTCGCAATAGAGCTTAATTGGCCCAGCATAACCACAAAATCCTGTTCCGTTATTTCTCAAGAGAGGAATTTCTAACGAAATATTACCTTCGCAGTTGGGACGTTCGCAGTTTAAGAACCATTCTAAGTAATCAGAGGACGCAGCAGAGTTCAGCAGAACCAGGAGCAAGAAAGGCGAAAGAAGGTGAAAAAGAGGAGATGGGAACACTCTGGAAGCCATTTCCAATGAAGAGGTTGGTTAATGGTTATGGATTTGGATGGTGTGAATTTTGCGAATTCACTGAAATGGAGAAATGGAAGTTGTTGGACGCGTAGTTGACTTGAACTAACACTTCTAATTTGGTCTTTCTTCTATTTCTCCAAACACTACTCGCACTTCCGTCTCCTCTGGCTTTTCCCCCTTTTCTTTTTCTTTTGCCAATCAAATTTCATTCAATTCTTTAATCACACATATAGCTTAACCATCAGAGGCATTAGTAAATAAATAAATGAAAATCTCATATTGATGATATTAACGTTTCTTGTAATTTTATGTAACAGTTGAAATTTGATTGATACATATATTTTTTTTGTGTGTGGAATGTCTGTGTTAGGGTTTCACAATCATTATTCGGGGCCCTGCCATATGAATCTTTCTTTCAAATTAATATGCCAATTGAATCATTCATTTTTTTCTTTGAATTTTGTGGTGTGAAGTGTGAACGTTGGACAGAGGAGGTTCGTTGCAGATGAAGGCTTGTTAAATGTGCTTCATCGTTATTGATTGACTTGGTCTTTCTGTTTTTCTATTACTTCTGTATGTGAGGGAGATTATCGTTGAGAATATATACTTTAGTCACTTGAATTGTATCAGAGTGATGAATAAATTGACTGGTTCTTCTTGTTTTATGAGTGCTAATCAAAATTCAAATAATAAATCAAACCAAGTGAATTTAATTGAACAATAAATGTTGAAGAGACTGATTGCGCAAACTAATTGAAAATTTGTTGATCGTTTCAATTTGGATTTATTATATTGATTATGGTTAGATTTATGTCAATTTCGGCACAAGTCATGGGCATCATATTCTTCTCATTAAAAAAGAAAAATTCATATTTTTGGTAGTTGACTTGTTCATGCACAATTAAATTTTGAGTCTACTGGTCGAAGCCTTCAGTAAGATTTGATCTCATCGAACTTTTTTGTGAAAGAATTTTAAATAAGAAAATGAAGAAATATTGATAGTTGTGTCTAATTTGCTCAAATTTCAATCACATTTTTGAACTATTTTGATTTTAACTGGTCCATATTTGATTTGATATGGTGCGAAAACAAGTGACATATGAGCATGTATTACCATGTCACGTCAAGGAGAGGGGGAGAAAGAAGATTTATTTTTTCTATTTTTTTTTTAATTCACATCACCCTAAAGAGTATTGTAAAACTATTTATATTTGTCAATATCAACATTATAATGATATAAAATTAGTTTTGAAATGCATCTTTGAAAATTTTAGGGGATAAATTATAAAATTTTCAAACCTAAGTAACAAAGAAATCTCACTAAAATCTCATGGATCTTTAAAATGTAGAAAATATGTAACCTACCAACTATTTTCCCTTTTTCTAAATTATTTAAAGAAATTTTAGGGTCAATAAAATTCGTTAGTTTTACTGTCAAATTAAGAAAATTTATTTTTCTTAACATATTTCTTATGTCTATTATATATACCTATTATGATGTCATTTCTCTTTTCCCACCCCTCAATTTTGCCACTCTTGTTTTGTCCTATGTGAATAATATTTATTTAAATTTCGTTAATGAAAAATGATTTTCATTATTCAATTTTTTAGTTCAGACATGTCAGTAGAAGTTCAAAACCTTTAGACTTTTTTTCTTTTTTTTTTTAATGAACCATTGACTTATAAGTCGAAGATTATATATTTTAACTAGTTAAATTATGTTCAAATTGTCGCATTTATCTCCTCAGTAATGATTATCTAATTTTGGTCCCAAAATCATTTTATTTTGATATAATTTTGGAAATGTTTATTCTTGTTTTTATAAATTTATAATTATTTGTTGTTTGGTGAATATTAATATGTATATTAACTATCAAAGTAACAAAAGTAGGTTGAAGTAGATGATAGGGCATAACTTGAAAGTTAAATACCAAAATAGTTTTTTTTTAAATTAAAAATGGGAATAGATATTTTGAAATCTGAGAAACTAAATTTGAGTAAATCTAAAAGTTTGAAGTGGAAAATGAAATTAAAAGGGTTGGTTTAGGAAATGAGGTTTGTGTCTCGAAACGTAAATGTAAAATTTGGAAGGATTTGGATGCAAGTTCCTAGGACCCGCCACGTGTAAGCAATGGCAATCTGTGCGTATAACCCTCCAAAGAAGATAATAAATAAATAAATATTAAAGAAAGAAAAATGTTATTATTCGCTGCTGCTGAGGGCTGAGTGCTGAGTGCTGAGTGCTGCCTTCTCTCCAACTCCAAAGAGTAAAGAGCCGAAAAAGGATCGATTCACACTTCTCATTTCTCAGTTCTGATCCCTTCAGATCTCTCTCTCTCTTCAATCTCCAAATTCTCTCATCAACAAAAATTGATTCTCAGTTTTAGAGAGAGAAAGCAAGGAATCTCTTCTCAAATCTACGCCTCGCATGGCTACCTTGCATAAATTCAAGCTCTTAGCCTCCCAATGTACCGTTGCTGGAAGCCCTACCCGAAGCCCCACCGCTAGCCCCGTAATTCACCTCCGCCGCCGCCGCCGAAAAACCCTAAGAATGCTCCTCAATCGCACCGATCGCCGCCGATTTCCCTATCAAGATAACTCCGCCGATCCTCAAGATGTCGACGACGAGGAGGACGATGAGAATATGATTCCCGAGAAAAATGAGAAGGAGGTCAGAGCCAGGAGGAAACTCAAGGATTTGTTCGTCTCCTCGCCGCCGGGAGATGATAAGGTCTCCGATAGGAGAATCGAAGAGCAGGAGGGATTGTTAACGGCGTCTAACACCAGCGCCGCCGGAATCGGTACCTCCACCACTCGCCGCTCCCTGAGGCCGATATCGTCGACATTCCGTTACAGATTTCTCCGACGAGCTTGGCGTCCGGTGCTCGTCGCCATTCCCGAGTAGAAGATGCTCCTCTCTGGTAAATCTGTGCGCAGAAATTCCATAATTTTGCCTTAATTTTTCTTTTTTCCTTTTCTTTGATTTTCATAACATTTATTTTTCCTAATAAATTTCGTCCAACGGAGGGGAGGAGAAAGAGGGTAACGATGTAAAGAAAAAATATATATATGATTTAAAAAAAAAGAGGAAAAAAATTTATTACTAATATTATTTTCATAAGAATACTATAGATGTAAATTAAAAATAAAATTACAATTAAAACATGTTTATTATTGTTAAAAGTAATTTACTATTGGCGCCGTATTTTGATAGCGTGCGCCGTATTTGCGTAAGGACGTAACGGCCACGCGACGTTGACCCCTGACCAATCCATCAACGGGATATTAAAATTTAACGTTTTTTAAAAGAAGACCGTTAGCGTTAAATCTTAATTAAAAACGATAATGATTAACCAATAGAAAAGCATGTTTTGGGAGTGAGGTAAAAATTGGAATATAGCGGTTAAAAGATGGGTGTAATTATTGTTGTGGGGGTAATTTTCGAATTTAATCCAGGTTTCCACGTGTGTTCGTTTAGAAGTGAGAATAGAGTGGGAATGAATGTGGAGGAGAGGTGCGTAAATATAAAGATAATTGTAATAAAATTATAATTAAAATAAAGAAAAATGTCACATGGGTCATTATGTGAGTGTGTACTTTATACTAGCACGATTTTAGGAAATGTAAATCATGATGTGGAAAGAAGATGGAGCATGAGATAAAAATAATAATTTTCAAGATCATGATTGAATTCGATTTTTTAGAGTTGATTAGGCGATCAATTTTATCAAATCAATTATTTTCACCACTTAAGAAAAAGAAAAAGAAAAATTGATATGTGATTCTGAAATAATTTAAGCATAGTTTAAATGTTCAAACATGGATACCTTCATAAATATATATAACAATTCAATAATATACCCATGTTTTAGAATAATTAGGCTAATTATGCCTTTTGAATTTTGTTATTGGCTCTCTCGATTTTGCCATCGGAATTCCTGCCGTGATGGATTTTTTTAGATATTGCACTTTTTTTCTCCAAAAATATTAATGTATGAGACTAGGGTTCTTTAAAATTAAGAAAAATGCACCCCACTCAAAGATTCTTTTTATAATAATAAAATTAAAAAAAGGAAAAATTCGTCGCAAAGTTCTAAAAAATTTGTCCTTTTTCTCCCCTTTTGTTATTAAAATGTTCCATGCTACCCCATTTGAGTGCTCTTCATCTTTTTCATATTCTCTTTTCATTTACAAACTAGTTTATGGATTATTCTTAAACTTTATCATTTTTTTTTAATAAATAGTAGAGTTCACCTTCTTGATTTTTTTTGTTTGTTGGTGGAAGCATTTTTTAAATGGATAAATTCTGATACAACTCAATGAGGGGAAACAATACTTCATTGATCTAAAAGTGTATTGACAATAGTTATAAATAATTCCCTAAAAATAGTGAAACTAAGGCACTAAATCAACAAAGCCTAACTAATACTCCTCTAGACAGAAAAAAGCCATCTTGAACAATAGAGATCTTTTCTCAAAGGACAAATAAWAAAAAAAAGGAAAATAAAAAGAGAGATGAAATTATAAACTTGATAATGACCTCAGTAAAAATTGCATCTAGAATTTGAGAAGTTTCTGGACAATATAGCAAATGTTTCATGAGCAAAATAGTTGTCTGTCTCTATATATTTCGTTTTCTCATGAAAAATCAACTTTGAAGCCATATGAATTGTCATAAAATGATAAAGTAGGAAAGAATGGATAAAAAAACATTCGGTTCTTATATCTTCTCAAAGGTACTCCACATTTGAAAATGGATGCATCGACACTCCTCCACTAAATATGTCAATAAACTTTAAGTTCAAGAGAACACATTTAGTCCTCTCATAAATTATGTCCCAACAAGAATTTGACTTATGATTCATATAAAAAACTCAAGTGATACATGTACAAACATTTATAAAATTTAGAAATGTCACAGTGGAGCAACCATATTATTATTAAAAACAAAAGAAAATCTCTATTTTTTAGTACTAAAAAGAAAATCTCTGTTACTTCATCAGAGAACAATTATAAACATGGATTATCGTGTAACTTTTCAAAGTTTAATTAGTTCTCAATAAGTCTAAAATCTCGAGAGATCAATAACTCAATTGATTATACTTATATCAACAATGTTACAAAAGAACAAACGAGAAAAATAGTCATAATTTTTTATGATATATAGATTTTAAACATTGTTGATCACTTTCAAATTAGATAGTTTATATATAGTTTTAATTAGAAATATCACCTTCTTCGAAGTTCAAAGAAACTAGTTAGGCAAAACAATAATCCTCCCATAGTTAGGCAATCTAACAAACATGTTTTGGACACAATCTGAACAAATATTAATTCTAGTTTTTTTCCCTTTTTTTTTTGGACATAAATATGAATTCTAGTCATGGAAGCAACAATCCAACAATTTGAGGCATCCTAATCATATTAGTTTTTTTCAGGAAAAAAAAAAGTTGTTTATTCATTATTTTTAATCTCCTATTCTACCACCAATACTTTTCAAAAGGTTAGAAATTGATGAAAGTAATGTTATAGACTATTCTAATCTTTATTCAAAATTGGACCAAATTTTCAAACATACATTTTTAAAAAGTTTTGAAAAAAGATAAGAAAGTTGTTACAAACAAACTTACCTTTTGAAATACAATTATCCAACAGAAAAAAAAAAGTTATCGAACAAAATTTTAAATATTTAGGGCTCGCAATTTATATTTATTTATTTGTATTGTAATTAATTTTCTTGGATAATTGTGAATGTCTGGACCACCTAACTAATTTTACTACATTTCGTCGCACAGAAAATAAAATTCCTAATTAAGTTGCCATCATGGGATTTATTTTAAAATCCTATTTATATTTTTAAAATTAAATAAGGGAGGCAGAATGGGAGCTTTTAAGGTGTAAAAGTAAAATTGAAACCAAACACTTTATGGGCATTTTTGTGCAATATGGTTAGTTTCAATCTTATCACAACATTTTAAAAGGTTTGATTTTACCCAATTTTTTTTTTATTTCCCTTAAACATTTTAGTAAAAATAGTGAAAGAAGGGCCTTTATTATTCAACACAAATAAAAAGAAAATGAAGGGTATAATTGAAACCTTTAAATGGGGCAAAAATTGAAACTAATAGATATTTTTTAAAGCCTAGAAAAAAAAAAAAGACTTGGTCCCAAAACATGGTCCACGTGGGATAAGGGCAACTTGGGTACAAATCCAATAAAGAGTTATTTGTTTGGAGCAAACTTTGGAGGGAAGCAGATGAAATATTCCTTCCCACATAGACAAAAAGGAATATAATTTCCACAACACCCATTTATGCTTTTCTTATGCAAAAATGTAACTGCCAGCTGTAAATTATGTATTTTTTTTTACCCTACCTCCTCATAACCGTATTCACCCTTCAATTATAATTGCATAATATTTTAACCATAGTGGGACCCACTAAAGATAAAATTGTTACCAGTTGATAATAGTATTTGATCGACCTCTTTTAAAAAAATTAAGCTTTCATGAATTGCATCGCTTTTACGGTAGAAATTCTTTAGTTATGAACTCAATCTCCATTTTACAATATGATATTCATGTTAACTATAATAGTTTTCCTCCGGGTGAATTAACGTTTTGATTTTATTAAGAATTTTGATTTTTCACATTTTTTTTATAACCCGAAATCGATGTCGTATAGTTTCACCAATTGTATCTCTATAACGGATGGTGTCGACAACCAGTCGACATTGTAACCGACGTAGCGAGACTTGTTCCTAAATAGGAAGGGGGAAGCCTCGGTGACACGCCTGCAGAGCTCGAATCAGGGAGGGAGTATCACAAATCCACTACACCACCACACGCGGGTGGTTTGATTTTTCACGTCATTCCACCAATTGCACAATTGATCCTGAAGCTTCTTCAAGACTCGGTGCAAGCAACAATAAAGGTTGTCTTTATTGTTGTATTCTCCTTTGTTTGTCATAGTGCCACACTTGGTATCTTCTTTGTTGGACAAGCTTAAGGGAATGGCTAGAATTTGCTTGGCATCTTCTTCCATGAAGTCTTTTAGATTTAAGAATGTATTCCATTTTCTTCTGATCATAGAGATGCAAAGAGACAATGAAGGTAATTTAGAGAGTATTCACCTTTTTAATTCTATTTGTCTTGATAAACAAATATAGAAGTTAGATCTTTCACTCCCTACCCTTCATCTTAGCCCTATTGAAAGTAGATCTCACTATTGGAGATAAATCAAGACAAATCATCACAGCCACTCATTATGTAGGTTAAGATTGCCTAAGATACGAGACTACTTCCTCTAGAGAGAAAAAGAAAAGCAAACAAACAATTTGCTTTTTCGGCTTTGGACAACTTTCCATACCCTTTGTTTAAGTAAACTCATAGCTCCTATTTTATCTCTAGAAATTATAGGAGTTAACACGACCTTACTTGAACAGGACCTATTCGGTGTTCAATAGACTGTACAACCGTGTCCTTGAGTTCTGTAGGAGTAGTCCACACCCTTTTGTTTCTAGAGATTATAGGAGTAGTAAACACAACCTTACTTGAACATGACCTACTCAATAGGCTGTACAACCAAGATGCCTTTAGCACTTAACCAACTACAGTGACTGCTCATGAAAACTTCTTCAAGTAAGTACATAAATTTGATTTTTCAAAGAGGTTGAAAGGTTTTGGTCCCACCCATTTTTGTTTGCTGAGAGCTTGGTTGACCTTGTCTTTACCCTTCACGAGTTCATCCTTGAAACCAAAGCCAATCAGTGACCACATTAAAGTGTAAGGTTAACCAGACAGAGTGTCCTACCAAAGGAGGAATGAGAGAGAAATCTTGGAAGCCTCAAGCTAAGAAATCTTCTTTCTTCTATCTTATAGAATCCTATTATATACTCTGTCTGTACTTCCTTTTCGAGCTCTTCAACCAGACTCTAAGAAAAATATTTCCGCCAAGATTCAGAAAACAACTTTTCTCAACTTATTTTTAACATACTCGTTTATATAGCTAGCAAACTCACTCCAACGACGACCTCGAACTAGACGGTAAATTTCACCCTCCACAACATCACATATTGTCTTCCTTCTCCACTTAAAATTGTAAAGCATTTAATTCAAAGAATGTGATAGGTTTCAATCAAAGAATATGATAAGTAACTTGATCAAAGTCCCACTAAAACCTGCCAGAAAATATAAAGAACATCTCTTACTCCATGTTGATAAACTCGAGCATTAATTACTACATAACATCATAAAACTTGATAACAGATGTGTACCTCTTACAGCAATGTAAACTTTAGTTCGTTTTGTAGATTGAAGCATCTCCAGTGCAACACTGTCTGAAGTTCCTACGATACAGAGAGGAAAAACAGACACGAGCAGCTGATTTTCAGTTGCATGAAAAGTAGTACAATATGATAGTCATCTTCACCCCCAGGGATGATTCCTTTTGGATAATTTTCACCATTGTTTGAAGATGGCAACCATTCTGACAGTTGAGGGCAATTTGGGTTAACTCAGAATCTCTTGTATTAGCTGTTTTAACACATTATCAATTTATAGAATCACATTAAAGAAATACAAGTAAACAGAAAGTCTGAAACAGAAGAGTATATCACATCAATTAACTAAAAGAAGGCTATTAAATAACAAAAACAATTCAATTTAACTCTAAAAGCCAAAAGTTATGTATATTTGATGACTATTTTGAGGAAGATTCAGTAAAATTTTGGTCAGTACTAGTTCAATGGGTTGACCAGTCAATGTTGTGTGTGTGTGTGG